GAACAGAAAATCTATTCTAACACCCACACCCACACCCACGCCTTCGACTTTCATATTCTTCATTATTTTGATTTAAATTAATCATTTAACAATGCAGAGTATATTTTTGATTTCCGAATCCACTTAACGGGTTCCTTGATCAACAATGAGACGCGTCGTGAATTGCTGGGAATTCCCTACAACAGACCCATTCTCACCAACCCTCAACATATTTGAATCTGCATTTATCGTTTTCATTTTTTCAAGCACAATTCTTTAGCACGAGTTAAGACGAGCAAATTGATTTGTATTGAACAATGATACCGATTGACTTCTTCTTCATTTGATTCACTCTCTCCCACAAAACTTCATTTGACTTTGAAAGGTCCAACAATTCTATCTTTACATTGCATTGCTCTTGTTAAATATTTGCGAAGGGAAAGGTGAAGAAAAAGTCTTCATCTAGATCTGAAGCACTCAAGAAGATAAGAAAGATGCGACACAGTATGTCTAGTGTGATATAAGAATAAGAATAGCGCTCTTAGTTTTTGTTATTGTGTTCCTTTTGCTTTCTCTTCGCCTTCTGAGTCTACATGGTAATAATATTTCGCACTTTTTTTCAGCGAGCATAACGGAACACACATCATCATTGATTGTGACAGATTGTTCAAGTTTTTCTTGGCAGCCTATAACGATGAGCAGGTATGATAATAAAGAGAACATCATCGTGGTCTGGTGCGATCCTAATATCGGCTTCAATAACGACACAGAGCGGATGAAAAAAAAGCTGTGCGAAATTAACGATCATGCCATTTTTTACACCGAACTCGAACCGTGTATCGCTTACATTCAGTCAAGTGAGAAAGAAAAAATCTTTTTAATTACTTCAGTTGCATGGGGCGTTGACATTTTACCTCGCATCTCCAGTCTTAATCAACTTCACTCCATCTTCATCTTTTCGCTTGGAAGAGCTAATGATGGTCTTTTTCCTGTTGAATATTTCAAAGTGGTTGGGATTTATACGGAACCGGATGTATTATTTGCGTCGATTGAAGAGCAAGTCGATCTTGTTGACAAAGAGTTGCAGACGTTCAGTACTTTTGACCAACATAAAACAGCACCGATTTGTATTCCAGAACAATCATTCGAGTTTTTATGGTTTCAACTTTTCAAAGGCGTCATCATGTGTTTTCCATGTGTTCCACAAGTTAAAAAACAAATGATCGACGCGTGTCGTCAATATTATCACGACAATATGAAAGAATTAATATCAATTGAACAGTTCGAGCAAGAATACCGACCCGAACATGCGATTCACTGGTATACCAAAAAATCATTTCTCTACAAAATAGTAAACAAAGCACTACGAAATAGAGATATGGATCAGCTTCATTTGCTTCTTTTCTTTATCAAAGATCTATCAGAAAGTCTCACGCGTGAGCATAAAAGGTTTTTTCTTTCTGGTGAAAAATCGCTCTCTGTCTATCGAGGAGTGAAACTATCTAGTGATCAACTCGACGAACTGAGAGAAAATCTAGGCAAACTAGTTTCAATGAATGGGTTTTTGTTAGCAAGTCGTCTTCGTTCAGTGGCACTTGCGATGGCTACAAAAGATACCAAGCGAGGCGATTCTATACCTGTTCTTCTTGAGATAAAATGCAATACCGAAGATTTCGATGATTGGGTGGTTTTTGCAGATATCGCCGAATTTAGTGCGTTCGCCGATGATCAAGAGGTTCTGTTTGATCTGAATACTGCCTATCGACTGGAGAAGATTGCACACGATGGGCAAGCGTGGCTCATCGAAATGACTGCATGCAATGATGGACAAGCTGCCGTAGAAGATTATATATCAGAGCTCTGCTATGGAATGGAGGACCTCACTATCACCATCTTGTTTGGTAAGCATCTGTGTAAGATGGGCCAATTTGATGAAGCAAAAAAGTACTTTGAACTCATGTTGAGCGGTGAAAATAGCGAAGACCTCGCCTGGGTTGACTATCATATTGGCTTTACTCTTTATCACAAAGGCGAATTGGAGGCTGCACGAATATATTATGAACGTGCTTATAATAAAATGATGAATACGAAACCAGTACGAATCAAAGACTCGATACCTACGCTTAATCGAATTGGTTTTATTTTACATGAGCAAAAAAAGCATGATGAAGCACTAGGTTTTCATCGTCAGGCGCTCGAAAATGCAGAAAACTTACATTCGTCTGGACATATCCATGTCGTTGAAAGTCTCACTAGTATCGGCACGGTTCTATATGCTCAAAAAAAGTACAAGGAGGCTCTGGACTTCCATCGGCGAGCGCTCTCAATTCGAGAAAAATGTTATCCTTTTGGTCATATCCACATGGCTCTCGATCTTTCATCAATTGGGAGTATTCTATGTACCCTAACACAGTATGAGACAGCCCTGGACTACCATCAACGAGCGCTCGCAATTCGAGAAAAATATGATCCTTCTAGTCATATCGACATTGCTCTCGATCTTTTAACGATCGGGATAATTCTATTTTTTCAAAAAAAGTACAATGAGGCCCTGGACTTCCACCAACGAGCACTCGCAATTCGAGAAAAATGTTATCCCTCTGACGATATTCATGTTGCTGAAAGTCTCACTAGTATCGGCGCGGTTCTATATGCTCAAAGAAAATACGATGAGGCCCTGGACTTCCGTCAACGAGCACTCGCAATTCGAGAAAAATGTTATCCCTCTGACGATATTCATGTTGCTGAAAGTCTCACTAGTATCGGTGCGATTCTATATGCTCAAAGAAAATACGATGAGGCTCTGGACTACCACCAACGAGCACTCGCAATTCGAGAAAAGTGTAATCCTTCTGACCATATTCATATTGCTGAAAGTCTTAATAGTATCGGCGGGATTCTATATGCTCAAAAAAAATACGATGAGGCTCTGGACTACTATCAACGAGTACACGCGATTCAAGAAAAATATTATCCTCCTAGTCATCCCGCAATTGGTCTCAATCGTATCGCCATTAGCGTCATTTTATATAAACAAGGAAAGAACGATAAAGCCCTCGAATTTGATCAAGAAGGACTGAAAATTGACGAGCCACATCAGCCTTCTAGCACTTTCCCTACTACTCAAATTTCTACTGACTTGGGCAACATTTCACATAGCCAAGGAAATTACAATGAAATAGTCGACCGCCATCAAGAAGCAACCACGATTCAAGAGAAATATTATGCTCCTGAGCAAGTTTTCGTTGCTGAAACACTCAACAATATTGGTAATGCATATTAGAACAAATCCATCCCTTTTTCTATGCTTTAATGATATAGTTTCTCACCAAATGTAAAAATTATCTCTAGCACGTGAGTGTCAGGAGTGAAGAAGTGTCATGAGCGGATGATAATGTATGTATGTGACGCAGGATGTCGATTTAGAGTGTCATTGTAAGAGATCTGAGTTCAGGTGTATCTCTTGATACGCATTCCATTGTATTTTCAATTCACAGCTCACGGTTAGAACAGCTCTCTGCATCCTTTTTGTCTTTTTTAATTGATAGAAATTGATCTCATTCATATTTTTTATTATTAAATATGATATAACACTTCTAGAGTCGGCAAATCATTCAGATCTTCCAGTGGCAAGCAAGGCACAGAAAAATAATCATCTAATGAAACGGTTAACTTGTACATCTGACCATATGTGGAGCTGCGATGGATGTGATAGTAAATATCGTGATGGAAATGAAGACCGATTTCGATGTGATATTTGCGATGATTTTGACTTTTGTCGAGTATGCCATGATACAATGGTCCATGATCATCATTTAACATTGTGCGTTGGAGTGGATTGGTATTGTAGTAACTGTCACCAACAAGAATACCCTCGGTATACCATATCTCATTGTATTATAAATCATTCCGCTTTTCCTTCTAGGTTTCATTGTCATATATGTCCCACCCATGATCTATGCAACTTGTGTTACTATACAGAAAGAGCTAGTAAGATTTCGTTGTTTTCGTGATTTTGCGATTTTTTTAAAATAAATTTCTGTTCAGTTGGTTCCATACAGCTTGATTCGCAATCACAATTAAGTGATGATGATGACGATACTGACGAGAGCAAAGATCCGATTAATTTGGGTAATATTCCAGACTTTCAACCAAAATGTATTATTGTGTGGATGGATCGTCGAAAAGACAGACTCGATGCTGTCGAACCTCAGATAAGTTCAAATATTGATTCATTTAGGCTATTCTATGATGACGACGAATGCGTTAAGTACTTAATAGGTGTCACGAAAAGAAGAATTTTTCTTGTTCTAGTTGATGAATTTAACCAATCTATAATTCCACTGGTTCACAACATTTCAGCAGTTACTTTCGTTTACATATATTCTTTTTCAGCAACTAGCCCTCCTATTTTTGATCCGTCTCATACCAAAATAATGGGCATTTATCAAGATCAACAAGAATTATATAAAAAGATCACATATGATCTAAATCATATTATGTCCATTCCGATGAGCATATTTCGTACAATCAATGAAAATGATGATAAGTCAGTAAAAGATTTGACGAAAGACAGTATCGAATTTGTGTGGTTCCAATTGTGGATACAATCACTGCTGCGCATCCAACAAACTGATGAATCGATAAAAGAAATGTCCCATGAATGCCGTTTACACTATTCGGAGGATCCGTTACAAAAAACGAAAATAGATGATTTTGAAGAGTACTATAATCCAGAGGCTGCTATATTTTTGTACACGCAAGACAGTTTCCTATATCGTCTTTTAAATCGAGCTTTTCGAATGGAAAACATAGATATTATATTCAAATTTCGACACTTCATCATTGACCTTCATGAACAGCTGAAAAAGTCACACTTCAAAAATCTTCTTTCATTGTTGCGAGAAAACGATATCAACACTGATCATATTAGCAGAATTCAAGATTTATCCGAGGAAATTATCAATCAGATACGTGATAAAGAACATAATTTAAAGTTCAAAGTCTACAGAGGACAGAGAATGAATGCAAAAGATTTTCAACAATTGAAATCAAATCGTGGTGGTCTTATTTCGATGAACACATTTATGTCTACAACTAAAGATAAAGAATTAGCTACCACATATGCTGGTTTTGGTGAGGAACGACCGGCATGCGAGTCATGCCTATTTGAGATAGAAATCAATCCATTAATGGATATAAATAGAATCGTATTTGCCAATATTAAAGATCAATCTAATTTTCAAGAGGAAGCTGAAATATTGTTTTCAATGGGAATGATATTTCGTATTCAATCAATTGAAGAAAAGAACGGACTTTGGTACATAAAATTAATATCCGATGTAATAAAAGATTCCCCTGCAAAAGAAGTTTGTGACCGTCTTTTTAACGAGTCAAATAATATTTCTCAATCATTACATGTTTTTTGTATACTTTTATCTGTTGTTTACCCGTTAAACAAAATGGAACGTTATTTCAAGTTATTAGAGCATGAATATTCAAATGATGACGAGACGATATACACTGTATATGACGTGCTATTAAAATTATATCTTCAGAAAGGTGATCATCAGAAAGCCATTAAATATTTGAAAAAACAGCGACTGCTATTAGAAAAAAAAGGACCATTGGGATATGCAGCTTCAGGACCATTATACTTAAATGAGGGGTATCTATTTATAAAGTTTGGGCTATTCGATCAAGCAGAATTTAGTTTTCAGCTAGCATTAAATAGAATCGCCTTATCTGGCGATGCCCTCCCTCCCTATTACTTACCATTTGCATATACAAGTATCGGTGAAGCTTATTTCCGGAAGAATAACATGAGTAACGCATTATTTTACTTTGAAAAAGCACTCAATCTGTGCTTGAGTGATAATCGTTATTTCGATCTCACGGTCACTATATGTTATACCTGGATAGGAAAAGTTTATTGGAACAATGAAGATTATTCAACAGCTTTAACGTATTTTAAAAAGGTTAACGAAATTAATGAAAAAATTTTGCCATCAAATTGTCATAAAAATACACATATTCTTTATTGTATCGCCGATCTATACGTCGAAATTGGTGACTATAACATGGCGTTTGAATATTACAATAAGTATAACAATGCAGAACATCATGATCCTCATTGCATCAAGGATTTATCATATGGTCTTTTCTACACTGCTATTGCTGTGCGACATTATCGTAAAAGTGAATGGATTATCGCTCTGGAATATCTGCAACTAGCAGCGAATATACAAAAAAATTTCTCACCATTTCATCCTACTTTGGGGCTAACTTATAGTCTTATCGGAAATATTTATCGAAGTTTCAAAAAAGATTATGCTTTGGCCTCAATGTATCATGAAAAAAGTGACAACATTTTCAATAAACAACCTACTGCAAATTTTGATGTAGGTCTTTTGAACCCTATACAGCATAATGTTGCTTGGAATTATTATGATCTTGAAGATAATATAAAGCTGAGTGAATTTGTTAAAAACATTGTGGATAACAAAATGAGTAGTTTAAAAAAATTGTACAATATGGCGAAAACTTCTGACAATCAATTGATATTCTTGGATACTACGGGTGATACACTGACAGCAAACACTCATGCACTACATGATAATGGATCGGAAACAATTAATCAGACAAATGAATCGCTTAATACAACATCATTTATTCCTAGTAAAACTCTTTATTTTTCATATTTTCAACTTGGAGAAAAATATGCTATTGAACAAGATTTTGAGAGTGCGTTAATCAATTTTGAAAAAGGAATAGAAGAACAACAAAAGTTTTTATCGTATGAACACCCGTCGTTTATTCCTTCCTATAATGTAATGGTTTCTGTGCTGTATCAACTAAAAGATTATAAAAGGATGCTACACTACCTTGAAAAAGTACTACACATACATCACAGCAGACATCCAGTAAACCATCGTCAAATTTTCGAAACATATCGTAATATGCTAGAGGCGTACATTTCCTTGAAAGATGAACAAGGTGCTTTGAAATGTTCTGAAGTTCTTCTCGATTTGTCATTCAAGTATGATTATCCGGAGACCAAAATAATTCGACAAATACAAGATGCACTGATGTCCAAACATCCGAAGAGCATAAGTAAGTCCGAAATATCGGCATATCCCTCCTATAATGAAGAAGAATTCAACTGTTACGGCTTTGAAGATACCGCTTTGCTTCACAATAGTCGACTGTGGCATGAATACAGAAGCAAGTCATGGGAAAGTAATGGCGATGATGTATGTTATGTCTTTCAAACTGAAAATGATCCCTTTTGGTGGATAAAAATAACCGGGAGAATTCCTAATGCCAATCTGTCCGATGTGCGCGACTTATTAGACACTCATTTTGTTGAAAGACAAAGTGAATGGCAAAAAACACTTATTTTCGGCGACATCCTACATCGTTACAATTCCAATGCCGAAATATGTTATTTCCAATACGGTTCTCCGCTGCCAGGCGGCTCACCACGGGATACTTGTTTCCTGAAATATGTGCCGAATTTTCGGAGTGACAGTAGTTTTCGTATCACTTACAGATCAATTGATGTGCCACTTAGGAATGGATTTATTCGAACGCAATACAAAGGTGCACGTGTAGTTGGTAGACTAGAAGATGGAGATTTGTACTACATGAGTTTGCATCACTTGGAAGGTGTAGGATGGATGCCGCCGATTAAGTTGAATCAATTGCAATGTGATATTCTGCTGGACGAAGTGGAGAACATACGAAAAATAACGCGTAAACAACCAACCCCGATAAATGACGGTCATCAGGCTCCGCAGCGGTCCTTCTTTCCCCGGTTTTTTCTCCGTTTCCTGAAGCGTCCTTATTTGTCCTTCCTTTGTCGTAAAGTCTTTCCTTTCCTTCTTTTTCAGTTTTTAAGAGAAATCAACTTATAAAACAAGATAAAACCACGACGGAGACATCTAGATTGCCACCATCATTAACCTGATGTTGAAAGAACTGCAGAGATTTTGTACTTTAGCTAACTTCAAGAAAAATTCGTCTTACATAGCATAAAAACTTCTCGCAGAATCTAAATACCTGTACTACTCATATTCCGATTTCGGGTGTGGATGTGGGTGTGGGTGGGTGTGGGGGTGGGGGTGTGGGTGTGGGTGTGGGTGTGGATAAGCAAAGTACCAACACCCACACCCCACACCCAAACCCACATCCCACACCCCACACCCACCCACACCCACACCCTATCTGTAAAGGGTCAATTTTCCCTGAACATATTTAAACGTTGTGAGAATAAGAAGTTGTCACGCATTTGATAATCTAGAAAAATTAAAACGGCTCCTCATACATTTATGTCTTATTTCTTCCTTGATTTGTTCAGCTTGATATATTTTTGTTTTTATGTAGACTTTTATCTGTGATGATTGGTGTTCAAGTTTTGACTATATCTGCTATCTTGGGGGTAGGTGGGGTGTGGGTGTGCGTGTTGACCTTTTAATGGTTAAACACACTCCACACCCACACCCACATCCACACCGACACTCACACCAACACCCATACCCCGCGCTCATTCGACAGCTCTGATCTTTCGTTATGATAACGATGTAATCTAATGCAAACACACTATACTTTTATGGTACGACAACCTGGAATGGACCGTTATGTCTTCTCTATAAAATTTGTTACGACAGCCCTCACTTGATATTCTTACGTCCTTTGAACTATATCGTGTGAAGAATGTGGGTTTGGATGCTTGTAAGTAGACATAACGAAAAACAACACTCACACTCACGCTCACACACCCACGCCAACACCCACATCCAAACCCACACACCCACACTCCACATCCCCACATCAACATCCACACCCATACCCCCATCCACGCCCACACCTTGTAATGCACCAGTTCCAGTCCTCACTGGTGAACTGGGTGCCAGTCGAACTGGGTATCCAGTCCGACTGGGACCCGGTTACTAGCACTGGTGCATACCTATCCACACCCGACCC